GAAAAAACTTCAGATTTGGATCTATGTGATCAACTAATTCTAATAACATAAAGTTATGAGAAATTTATCATTGGATATCATTCCTGTTATCATTTTTATTGCGCATTATTATTTCTACCATTGTAGAAATTCTTTATTACACACCCTTTGATAGAGAGAAACTTACCCATATCCCATCTTTAATACAATACACATTTCTCTTTATCTCTTATCACACTCTCGTCACATCATGTGATGAGAGATAGAGAAAACGAAGTATGAAACATGTTACATGAAAGTTTTACTCCCGTATGATACTGGTGAGCTAGTGATGACGGGGATCCGGACCTCCAGGAATCAATCGGTTTGACCCATTCTGACTTTTGCTTATCTTTTCACTTGTGTGCTTTGACTTGATCATGTTCCGGAATTTGTTTGGCTTTTCATTTCCTGATCGAACATCATATACCTTCTTACTCTTTTCCACCAATGTGGGAATCGAGCGGGTTAATAAGACCCTCCTCTCCTTCATCCCTGAATTGAAACACTGAGAGTAGTCAAACCTTAAAGTTGAAAAGAAAAACAAAATTAGCAATGCAGTCAGAAAAACCCTCAAACTAGACATTTGATCTCTCTCCTGCTACGAACAGAAAGTCGATAGTCTTGTAGCTAAAGACTGGAAGCTAGGAAGAACCATACTAGTAGTATATATAGCAATCAGAAAGTCATATTTTATCCTTGTATTATTGGTGGGAGGGACATGACCATCACAAATTGATCTCCTTTTCTTGCAAGTGCTTCTATATATAATCTGACACAAACAACCACACACGACGCATTTTCCGATATTTATTTCCGAGTTTTCATGGACCATGCATCTGCATGCATATATAACAGAGATCATTTGCTAATTAACTTTGGGTTTTGGATTAATTTCCAATACCTTGTCACGACAAGTTACTAGTTAGTGTTTCATACATATAGCTGGCAATGGGTCGTGTCGTGTCGTGTCGTGTCGGGTTCGTGTCGTGTCGGGATAATAAACGTGTCAAGAATGCTTAACCCGAACCCAACCCATTTAATAAACGTGTCGTGTCGGGTTCGGGTCGTCTTTTATCGTGCGGGTTTCGAGTCGTGTAACGGGTTCATAAATAATTATATGCATGTTACGAAACTCACAATTGAAAAAAATTTAAATTAAAAAAAACAGAGAGAGTAGAGAAAATATAAGGAAAAGAAAGAAAAAAAAGAGGAGAGAAGAGAGAAGGAAAAGAAAGAAAAAAAAATAGAGAGAGAGAGAGAGAGAGAGAGAGAGAAGATTGAAGGAAAGAAAGAAAGAAAAAAGAGAGATGAGAGAAAACTAAAGAGAAGGAAAAGAAAGAAGAAGAAAAAAGGAGAGAAGAGGAAAGGAAAAGAGAGAAAAAAAAAAGGAGAGAGAGGAGAAAGAAAAAAAAAGTGGAGAAGAGAGATGGAAAAGAAAGGAAAACACAATAGAAAAAGAAACATTATAAATATTAAAAGACATATGATAAAATCACAAAGTTGTTTGTAGCATTGTGGATAAGGTGTTTGAGAGAAATAAGGGTGGTAGGGGTTCGAACCCCCTTGTGTGTGTGCTGAAGTCTCCATTTCTCTTCATTTTTTAGCGGATTGACAGGTATTATAGCGGGTTGACACGACCCGTGACACGACCCGTTTAATAAACGGGTTAGGTAGTTATTATAACGGGTTAGCGGGTTGACTCGAAACCCACCCGTTTATTAAACGGGTCAGAACGGGTTGACCCGAAATTGACCTGTTTTTTTAACGTGCGGGTTGAACCCGCTAATTTCTCGTGCGGGTTTCGAGTCGTGTATCGGGTCGTGTCCGAAATTGCCACCCTATGATATATCTTCCCACGAGACACTATTGAATCCATACAATGAGAGAATACGCCTTTACCAAGTAGGTATAGGTCATCAAATTGTTTTATTCTGCTTTTGTCATTTCATTTAGTAGTTACACGCTGCCATTGACATGATTATGAGTGCTCCGTCTCCGTGTATGCATGGATCGCTAACCTAATTAAGTAGGTCAAGCCCAATATTTTTTAAAAAAAATTTATTCACCATTTAGAGTAGAGCAATTCATCTCATCCATTCTCTATATTGGATTGACCTAATTATAAGTAGGTCAAGTTTGTTTGGTTCCTTTCCCGCTCTGTTATTGCACATGCTCAGAACTTTCAATCTTACTTGTCTTACCTGTATTATATGTTTTTTTTTGGTCAATAGTGATAAACTTTCCATTAAGTTGAAGCAGGCAAGCCATCAGTGGAAGCCAAGATACAAACTAGAAGTTCGTACATATCTAAAAACCCCGAGACATAAAAACCTATATTATATGTTTTTGCTTTCAGAATAATTGTTTTGTTAGTATAAGCAATTGGGATAGGGTGATTTATACAAATATTCATTAGGTACCTGAGGGTTTCGAACCCGCATTGACCTTTCAGAATTTTTTATACCTGTAATATTATTTTGACACATGTGATATCTTGATTACAAGCCTATTTAGCCCACAGAAAAGAGAAGAGCAACAGGCAGAGACAAGCCCACAAAAAAGAATTCTAGATAACTAAAGTCTCCATTCAAGCCCAATTGTTTGTCGTTGAATTATAAGATAGGCCCTCACGAAAAAACCACAACGAGAAACGATACAAATGTCTTACGAGACTCGGACGTTATGCCACCACCATTCGTTTTTCTTGGATAAGGTCTATAGGCGCAAGACCATACAAATAGATGATGGTATAATGAAAACAAAAAACAAACAAAAACTTGGCCTAAAAAGCTATGAAAACTCTGGTTTTTTCCTCACAACCATCTCTCTATCTTGCTTCAAAGTGTTCTCCATGGAACCCCAAAAGCCTGACCTTCAATCCCACAACCTTGCAAAAACAAAAACACAACAAAAGAACATATAAAATGCATGCCAATGCAAAGGGCTTTGGCAGTGCACCAGCCTCTGCTAAAGAAAAGCCTACAAGCCAAAACTCCAACAAAAATGATCAGGATGGCGATGAGGAAATTCCACAGGCTGTTTTCGAGAGGATGCTGGTGAGAATTGTGGCCTCCGTGGGGCTGCCGATGGCCATGGGCTTTGCATTTTTGAACGTTTTTGAAGTGATTAAGGAGAAGCACTTGTGGGACGTGCCACTTTGGCTCCCATTCTTGACAACGTTGTTGACTTTTGGGTCTTCAACTCTTGGGATCGCATATGGAGCTTTGTCTACAAGTTGGGATGCAGAGAAGAAGGGTTCGATTCTTGGTTTTGAAGAAGTTCAAAGCAATTGGGTTGAGATGTGGAGTGAGGAAGATGAGAGCAATAGCAAAAAAAATGACGGGTGAATTTTGGACTATGTAAAGTTACAATTTTACCACTGCTTCAAGCACCGTTAGTTAGCGTTCTTTCCCTCTTTATATTTGTGGCATTGTGATGAATTACACATAATTTTTATCCTTTGTACGGTTTCATTCATTGTGGTATTCTAATTATTCTAATGTACAATGAAGAAAATCGAACTCGGATACAAGAAGACAGACACACTACTTTAACTAGCCTAACTTGTATATGCACTTTGGCTCGGTCATGACTAATTGAATACCATGAATTGCTTCATATATATTGAGGTTGTGGTTGATCTGCACAGTATTTCATGAAAAAGATTAAAGCATTGGGTTAAAAGTATAAATCCCATAAAGTTCTCAGCTATAGATTTAATTACTATAATAGCTTGATGTCACTCCAAGTTGTAATACTAAATAAATAAGGTGTTTTAGATCTGAGGTCTTACGTGTCGTATGGACTGGTGTAATCTACATCTCGATCATATTGTTAGCGGCGGGTTACAAAATTATAAATGGTTGTATAGTTATTATTTTAAAATTAACATAACGACAGTTGATCTGCTCTAACTCTAATTATATACATTTGTTTCTTAATTATCTTTTTATGTGGTGCTAAAGCTCTAAGCAAATTGATTATACGTCAAGCTAATCTAGAAAGTAAAGTAAGATTATTGTATCACACAAAATAAAATGGTAAATTAGTGCCGTCTTTTATCATAGCTAAACAAAACTAAAGTGCAATTATATGATGGAAGCATTTACAGACCAAGACGACAGCATTTTCATTCTTATGTTGATGTGGTAGAAATCCTTTAATATAATAATTAAGTGGCATTATCAGTTTATTAGCAAGAAGCCTAATGGAGGTACGTCTACTTGGTGGAGAATGTTAATGATCCCGTTGCCAAATGAGACATTTGGTATTAATTAATCAATTGATTAGCGGATCGGCCTTATTACTTAAAGCTCAAAATCAAAAGCTACACCTTTTTGTCGTTTTCTTTGAACGAATTCAAAGCAGTTTTATTGTATATTTGTATGTGAGTCATGGAAACTATATAATAACCCAAGATTCTTAAATATTTATTTTTAAAATATACCGTTGAAATAGACATCGGTCGGTTTGCATTTCTTCCCTTACTAATCCTCCTTTTTGCCATTTATTATCATACTCACTCGTTACCACATCATTCGTTTTTTTTAAATATATATTAGAGTATTAATGAATTAGCAAAGAGGAAATTTTCAAATTATTTTGGTGGATACGTATTAGACAATTGAAATATAATACATACGTTCTACTCTACTCTCACGATCACACCATTACGTGATTCTTGCGAGTATTATTTGACATACTGCAAAACCTCTCCTCAACCTAAAATTTATTTATGTTACATACGCTCTATTTTACTCTCACGATCACACCATTACGTGATTCTTGTGAGTGTTATTTGACATATTGCAAAACCTCTCTTCAACCTAAAATTTATTTATGTGTATCAAAGGCTGATACTTTTTGCATTCTCTCTCTTGCATGCCATGCGAAGTGAAAGGAAACTCTGAACAAATTCTTCACTAAATCACAAAAATATTAAGCTCTAGATTTCCATGAGTTCAAAATCGATGATAAAATTTAATTCTGAAGCTAGTAGCACATAGCTAATTCGTCCATTAATTATCCCACCATCAAAATGTAATAACAAAAACAGAGTCGTACATCAAAGAGGTCTCCAAGATATTTTATTGTTTTTTCGGTTAGACCTAAAAAAAAAGTTTACTTTCGTATCGTCTTAGATGATTGCAAACCAACTCCACGGCAACAAAATAAATAAATAACACTCCACTGTACATATACGACTTCTCTTCTTCTTGGCCATCTTCCCAATTCTTTAAAAAATTGTCAAAATCAGCAAATGACACAAGAATTGGGATCCTCTTCTGGGTTTGTTATGTAATAGCCTGCAGGCATAGGAGGATAATAGGCGTGGTAGGCCTTTATTAACTCAGCCATTTCGTATTTTGGATCTTTCTCCTTCTTCGGCTCCTCTTTCTTGGGCTCCTCCTTCTTCTTCTCCTCTTTTGCTGGTCCCACTGACACTATCTCTGTGTGGCAAAGCTTCCTCAGTTTGCTCACCAAATTTACTGGATCTACGTCCCCTATCACCGTCAGTTTCTTGTCCTTCATATCCATGGAAATTGAATCAAGCCCTGAAACAATATACCATCCACAAACAAGATTAATTCACCACTATAATAGAAAAACAGAGTAATATGCTGAAGAAGAAATTAAACCAATTGAAGATGCCTGCCTACCTTCAAGCCCTGAGACTGCCCTCATGGCTTTCTTCTTAGCCTTCTCGTCGTACAATTCCAATTTCAACACTACTTTCTGTCGTGAAACAAGATAGATACTATTAGATTCCAAAAATTATAATCAGTAAAAATTAGTGAGATATAAGCAAATTAACATCAAAACCATCAATCTTTGAACTAAGAACTTGAAAGAAAAGTAATCAGAATTCAAAACCCAGTGACAATTTAGTTTCAAAGAAAGAAAACAAATTTTGGTTTACCAAAAGATACTATCTTTATTTATGTATAAAAAAGGTAGTGAATCAACTGATGACAGAAAGGATCCCATCCTAGTAAAGTTGTCTGAAAAAAGAAAAGAGCTTGGAGCAAAGTAAAAATGCTAACCTTCATTTCTATGGAGTTTGAGGGATCTGAACAAGGAGTTTAGTTAAGAGAGAGATTCAAATTTGAGCAGAAGCCCAGAAAACACAGAGAGAGAGATTTGTAGTAATTAAGAGGAAGAGAGACGTTTTGAGTGGAGTCTCTTGGTGAAGTGAAGGGAACCTTGGGGCTCTAATTTATATTGAGATGAAAGGGAGGGGATGGGGAAATATATGACACCAGCACAAGGGAGGAAGGAACTGAGTCAACCCGAGTCTAGTCAAGAAGTCTACGGTCAATAAAATGAAAATCATGTGCAATTTTGGCCGCAAGAGGAAAACTAATTTTTTTTCTCCCTCTCTAGCAATAATGGAAGAGAACGCAAACGTTGTTTTCAATGATTTCCCACTGCCAAACGACACTGTATAAATAGCTTCTCTCTAGGAGTGGTTGCGGTTCAGTAATCGCGAATTTTTACTCAAACCGCAAACATACTGACTATTTGCGGTTTGGTGATTTTTGAAACCGCAAAACCCAGTCGGTTACCGAGAATTAGCGATTTAAAACCGCAAGTTCTCAAGCATTCACAAAAATATAAATTCATAACTTAAATAAATAAATACACAATCTCAATTTCTCAAGCATATATAAATTCACAATCTCCTCAACTTCTCAAGGATTCACAACCTAAGAAAATTAAAGTTACAATTCCAAGCATTTCAATTAAAGTTAAACTTCTAAAGCATTCCAATTCTAAATCCTTTAAAGTTACAAACTAAAAGGAAAATGCAAAGCAAAATGAATTAAAGTTACAACCAAAAAGAAAAATATAATTCAAAGTTAATTAAAGTTACAGACTAAAAGGAAAATGCAATGCACCAACGTTACAAACTAAAGTTACAAACTCAAGTGTTGGTGGTGAGTGCATTTGAAGAACCCCGTTGTATTGTTTAAGCACCAATGTTATCTACAAATAAAACAACATAGTTTAGTACATTTTATTATAAGAAGAAGCATAAATAACATTAGCATAAATAAACTAATTACTTACAAGTTGTCATATGTTTTATTTCCTTGTAGAATACTTTGTGATTTACGGTAACCGCAAGTTTTGAAAATCAAATACCGCAACTGCAACTACAAATGCGGTTCGATTTTTAATACCGCAAATGTGGTTCGGTTCACCGCGATTGCAGTTTCATTACGATAAATTGTCGGTTAATTTTTGCAGTTTTTTAGTTTAAAATGTCACCCCTCCTTCTCTCTACCTACCTACTTTTTTGAAATTTCAATGAATTTTCCAGAAGCCTTTTCATAAAGTTCGTTTTCTGCGTCTTCCAGGAAAGCAACCAATATTCAAAGTCTTTGCCGTTATATGAAGATTTTGGTAGATACACGACTCTGGTGGCTGTGGGTCGTCGTCGTCCTCCTCAAGTCACCCCCCCGCCAGCCAACCAGCCCTGCAGAGGCCCCACCTCTCTTTATTAGGAGAGCCCTACGGTTTCCACGCGTTCTTATAATTAGATCCCGTGTCGAATGAGAAATTGTAGAAAATAACTTGTGAAGACTACACTCACACTGTTCTCCTCCTACTATGGTACGGATGTGTGAATGGTGTATTATTTTATCATCATTTTTCCTTCTAATTTGGCTGCACACCCTACACTTGTCACATATGTATATATTATAGTTTTAAATCATAATATAAAATATTGATTAATTTAATGGTAATGTCACATGGGTTCAGAGTATAGTGTCTGCTAAACCCCATATCCTTTGCTGTGATTCCACTTATGCAAGCAAACTAGTATTTCCTCTATTTTTTTTTTCTTTTTAGAATATAGATTCTCTTCACACAGTGAGTGCATTTACCAAAGCCAGTAACATGCATGAAACTGCCATCTGATTATAATGTTATTTTCCTTCTAGTTAAATTTTGACAGAATTAATTAACACTTGGAAGCGAAACTCTCAAATATGTATCGAGATTCAAACTTAAAACCTCTTCTAATATTTTTTTCGTCCAATATTAGATGGTAAAGTGTTGTTATTTGTAAATTGTAATTGAAAATCAATACAGATAAATAAGGTTGGGCTGATTTTTATTTTTAGGATGTGGGCTTCGCTCTTTAAAAAAAAAAATTCTTAAAGTTGGGCCCACATGAATCTGTTACTAGACAAATTTGTGTTGAATTAATAGATGATTTATAAAGACAAAAAAGGAAGAGATATCATGTAAAATGTAGCATCTGGTAGGGCCCAATCTAAAGAATCTTCTCAGGCTCAGGGTGCTCCTTCCCTTGTTCTTTAACCATCATCAGTGTGGTCACTCACCATAGTTACACTTGAAAGAGAATTGGACCATAGATTTTTTGGTCCCAATACCATGCACTCGGGCCCTTAGATAAAAAACTACAATCAAATCAAATCAAATCAAATCTCTCTCCACAACCACGGCCCACACTTTAAACCTCTTCTCTTGTCCTATTCACCTCACCCCTCTCACTCTCACGAGTCACAACCGACTCTCCCCCTCCACCTCCACCGTTGGTTGGTCGGTCAAAATCCAGATTGAGAGATGATGTATACGACTACTAGTTACTGGTCCACAAAACTCCACCATTACCAAGATCACACAACTCTATTGGATGGTGGATGGATGAGAACAAAATTCCAGTCTCTTCAATTCGTCACTTGAAAATTGGCATTTATTTATAAATTTGTATTATTTTATCTCGTGCCGTCGTGTTTTTTGGTTAATCGATTGTATTATTCTACTCATTTGCTTTTTCATTTCATCAGTTCTCCTCATGAATTCAAACCCAACCAAATTATGATAGTTTCATGCCGAACATAGTCCTCTTCTCTTCTTTTTTGATGGTCACTTAGTTATATTCCTTAATTGGATCACTCAACTTCAGACATTGGGGTCATGTATTAGTGTGCTCACTCTAATCATATTGTCCTGCTTGGAACAGTCATAATCATTTTCTTAATGCTTGACTTGACTCTAATCCATTTGCATTAGAGTCTGGCAAGATAAAATGTGACAACCAATTTTAACCTTCTTTGTTGTTCTAGGCTGACCCTTTGTATTAACATGCTTTCCCCTTCGATAAAAAAAGAAAAAAAGAAGCTTAGCTTGGGATGACAGTGACTTTACTATCTAATCAAAGCCCAACTCCGAATTAAGCAGAGTCAAGAGCCGAAAATTCAAAATTATTACCAAACAAAGAAAAAAACACGAATCCAACGACTCTCCGTCCATCCAACGCTTAACAACGTACTCTTATTCCCTTTGTAGCGTACACGTGACGAGTTGCTATTGGCCTTCTTCCCACCCACCAAAATCTCCGCCGCATCCAACAATCCCCAGGTCCTATATAAAAGTTCCGCCGCCTACGGAAGAGTCGCAGCTTATCGCTATTGCAAAAGCCCGAACCCGAGTATTTCGGAATTTATGGTATCCAAAAACCCGAATCCGCCAGAGGGCTTGTACTTGGATCCGAGCGGAATGGCGTTACCCGGGCTCGGGCCATTCGCCTCAGTCACTACCTCAGCGACGACGACGTCAACGACGTCTTCTTTGGAGGATCTGAGTAAGAAGATTCGGAAGCCCTACACTATCACCAAGTCCAGAGAGAGCTGGAGCGAACCCGAGCACGACAAGTTCCTCGAAGCCCTCCAGCTGTAAATTTCATTTCTCTTAATTCTTCACTTTTGTATGTTAGTGTGTATAAATATAGGGCGCTACTGTTTTCGTTTCGAATTGGGGTTTGAAATGTGGGAAAAGAGGCGATATAGTTTCTGTTTGTGTTTTGAAATATTTAAGGGTTTGTTTGGTTGGTGAGAAACTTTAGGAAAGAAAGAAAAAGAGAAGTTTCAGAAATTTGGAAAAAGAGTAGGATTTTAGTGGTAATTCATTTTCTCATCCCCAATTTGTGTTATTGTTTGTTATGATGCTGTTGTTATCTTAGTTTAGGCTATTTTTCATACATTTTTGTGCTATTCCCGAATTTTGTTTATGTTCCCTCTGTTGCATTCAGCTTTGACCGTGATTGGAAAAAGATTGAAGCATTCATTGGGTCAAAGACAGTTATACAGGTTAGCTTTCAAAGGACAGTTCTTGTTTAGTCCACTTAATATCTGCAATTAGTTAGTTCGTTATATAGTTTCCAATGCAAAGAGAAAGATATGCTTTAGTGACTATCACCAATTAATCTTTTATCTGCAAGTTTATATATCAGACAATAATGAACACCATTACCCATGAGAAGGATTGTTTTTGCAGATACGTAGTCATGCACAGAAGTATTTTCTGAAGGTTCAAAAGAATGGGACAAGCGAACATCTACCTCCCCCTAGGCCAAAAAGGAAAGCTGCTCACCCATATCCTCAAAAAGCTTCTAAAAATGGTGAGGATGGTTCAATTTCATGTATCCTATTTTTCACAGTACAATGTTTTACAGCCACACTCATATCTGCCTTGTTTGCCAGCTCTGGCGCTTCCACAAGTGTCTGGGTCATGTCAATCTTCATCTGCTTTACATGAATCTGGGTTTATTCAAAGGCCAGATTCAGCGTCAATGCTTATGAGTCCCGTTCCCGGCACTGTAGTCCCTTCCTGGACTGATGGTTCCATGCAAACAGCCAACCTATCACATGAGTCCAAAGGTGTGACTACTAAATAAATTAAATCTCCGTAACAATGACCTGATCTCATTGTACATTAATGTTATCGTTTGCAAACTTGATTTAGTTGCATTTGCTTTCTGTGCGGGTATGTTATTTCAGGGCCAACTGGACCGAATAACAGTTGCAGTAGCACAGAAAGCACTCCAAAAGCTCAACCAGTTGGTGGAACAACTGATCTAGTGATTCGTAGCCATGCGTTGAGAGGTGAGGTGACAATCTTCCTATTTGCAGTTTCTCCCTCCCGGACAAGTACTTTCACCTAAATGGTTATAATAGTTTAATATTGGATTTGAACTTTTTTACACCTTGAAGTGGATAAAATTTGTGACAAAAACATGGAATTTCATTCTTGTATATGGACATGAGTTTTATGTTTCAACATGTATTTGGGTGCTCAATATATCAAACTTTATGATATAATCACAGCTATATGTATGTGTCTTGCATTTCTTCTATCATGAACAGCGAAAACGTTCACCTAT